ATGGAGGGGAAAGAAACGGGAAATGGCTATGATTTGTTATGGAATCTCTTTTGTGGAGTGATGAAAGTATTATTAATGTGTGTTTATGGTTGCACAACTTTGCAAACATACTTTGTAAAATTATTGGATAGTACCCTTTAAATGGTTGAATTGAATGATGTGTGAATTACATTGTAGTAAAGATGTCATAATTTTAAAAAGTTTAGAAACATCAGGTGCTAATTCCTTAATTATGTGGTAATTCTGCACTGCCTGTAAAAGTTCATTAAGCAATGAAAAATCATCCTGTAGAATATGTGGAATTGTTTAGCATGTTGTTCTGAAGTCTGAGTTCAAACAGATTCATAAAAATAAGTTCAGGCCATGAAAATCAAAGTTGTACAAATTAAAATGCTATTATAATACAAGAGTTCTGATGAATAGGGGAGAGTAGAATTTTCTTACTCTCTGTTCATCAAACTAAAGACAAGAAGGTTTTATTAGATTCACAAGAATTGGATACATCAGTGCTCATGATCAGTCGCGGTTATTGAATTCTGGAGATTTGTACAATCAAGATAAGTATCAGTTAATTATACAGATTATCTTCAGTTCTTGGCCCTTAAGACAAAAGCTAAATTAGAGATAGAAAGGAAGTAAAAGATCCAATAAAGTAATGGCCAACAAAGAAAACAAAACTAGGATAAAACTATAAGCACTGTAGAAATAAACAACTAGTAGTAGGGGCTGTGAGGACAAGAAGAAAACAGAATCTCCTGGAAATGGCAAATGAAATCAAAGTCATATCTGAATTCTTTCCAGAATTGCTTTACACAACCATTCACAATATACAACAGAATATCCATTAAGGTTAAAAATGAGGTTTATTTCTCACAATGTTTAATATAGTGGCTGTTCTATGACAGATATGCAATAAATGCTCATTAAGTGAATGATGCAAGGAACATTAAAGATTACCTCAAGAGAAAGAGTAGGATGGGGAAAGCTAGCAACACTTCACCATGCAAATTCTAGTTCTATACAGTATAGGAAATCTCCAACCAAAAGGGATAAAAAAAGAGGGAAATAACCACTGTAAAACAAAAATCATTGAGTTCATTAACCCAAAGAAAAAGTATTTATTGAGGTCCTACTGAGTATAAGTACTTAAGGCCATGAGCAAGATTAACAATGGGATAACATATGAAAAGTAGTCACAGGACTCTACCGATCTATAATTCTTTAATTGCATATAAATAATATAGCAGTAGTGACAACTCATCTTTGGTGATTTTTCTTTCCTGATATCTTAACAATAAATTACCTGATTTATTTTTTAGCTGATTTCTTAATGAAGTTTCTAGGATTTTTTGGAATTCCATAAAAAATTTTAGAGTTTCTTGACTATTGCAAACTACTTAACAATATTTTCATCAGTGGTTTCTTTTGATATAAATTACATAAGAATTTCTCTGTATAAGTGACATTTTAAATTCTACAATTTAGTGTTTTATACACGTAAGAGTTCAAATTATAATTAATACTATGAATAATAGTATCCCTCATAGTGTTGTCAGGGTTAGATATTTCAATACATATAATAATGTGAGCGGTGCCTGGCATTCAGGCAGTATTTAATAAATGTTAACTACGGTCATTGTTTATATAGAGTGTTCACAAAAATCCCACCATAACCAAGGATTCACCAGGAGTATCACCCTGTTATTTCTGGAATATTATTCTATTGCTAGAGTTAGATTTAGTGAGCCAGAAATGGACAGGAAATATTGCCAGAAACACGTATAGATACCATCCATCTCAAGTTACTGAGCAATGTTGAGCATCAGTTTTGCTTGATGACAACCAGGTCATCCTCTTCCAGTGTTCACCTCAAGTCAACTAACTGATAAATTAGGGTATCAATAGCAAACAGAAATGCCACGACAACCTTTGTTCATTTTTGAATGAATCTCATCAAAAGAACACATCGTTGATTAATACAATCTTCTTCATTTTCCTCAGTAAATATGAAGACATAAAGAAATTAAGAAATACTTTTTACTGGGAAATTTTCCCTATTATATGCTACATAAATGATTTTCAAACTTAAGCATTTCTAATAAATGCATATTTCCAGGCCACAACTAGATTCAAAGTTTCCAGATTTCCAAATTAGCTTCTAAGCATTGTATTTTTTATGACCTCCATGAGAGATGAAAATTTTAACCACCTGGATCTAAAAAGCCATAATCTAAAACAACCAGAAACCCAAGAGAGCTTCGCCTATAAAACCACCTCTACAAAGCCCACCTGAGCAGCCAGGTGACCTGTCTTTCTTTGTTTCTTTGTTCCATCGCTTAACAACCTTAACTAATATTGTACTTCCTCAATTACCTGGGATTGGCAAATGAAATAGACATTTGTTCTGCTATCACTTTTATAGATGATATTCTACATAAGTTGTGATGAAAAGTAATAGTGCTGAAAAGTAAAAATGTTTTGAAACAAATCATTTCAGTAATTATTCTTTGCATGATTGAAAGTTTTGCAAGTCACATGTCAATGTTTTATGAAACAGGAATAAGAGAGTGAAAAACAGAGGAAGAAAAGGGATTTCCTGGGTTTTTGACCCAGGTAGAGCATATATTTAGGGCTTCCTCACAAATTTCAAGTGCCTTAAGATGTTAAAATGGGCAGAAATGCCGGACTCTTCAATCACAGTTCCTTGGTCAATAAGACTGGCCAAGCATTGGAACTTTAATTAAATACCCATGATACCAATTGCTCACTTTTCTTCCCCGAAAGGAATCACTGAGTTACAGTTATATGCACAAAGATTTGCTGTTTACTTTGCAAGACCTACAGAAAATATGCAGAGCAGTGCGTATGGGAGGAACTGAATGTTAACCTCTGTTTTCAGCTTCTGTGGCTTCTCTGCTATGGTGCATTGTGAGGTGCCCTTGGGGACCTTCTCAGTCATCCTAAGACAAAGCCCTAAGACTTGAGTTACCCGCTATGACGTGCATCCCTTAGAAAAAGACTAACATTCAAGTTAATTCTCTCCGTGATGTTGCATAAATTGCACTGCACAACTCAAAGGTGTGACATTCACACAGACAATGGTTAGCATCTTAGATTACAGCCACTGGCAGCCCTGACCCAGATGTAGGGGCTCTTTGTCCTAAAGAAATTCCAGAATATCTGCTTGATACTACTGGTGCTAGTGATGATGAAAAAAACAAAACATAATAACTAAATTTTGTGATTACCTACAACATTCTGCTTACTTTAGACATATTATTAAGAAAGAACAAGATGAGGGGGAACCTGATTAAATATCAGACTTTAAGGAAACTGCCCTTTTAAAGCCATGGATAAATGGAATTGAGTTAATTATACAGTTTTATTTGACTTATTCTCACAAATGCGCATAAAAATATGCAAGTGAATATAACCTAATTTGGCATTACAATTTTTACTTTGGATTTCTTTTATTTTTTATTTGTGAAGTAACATCACTATCAGGGTGAAGACACAGAGAACAGTTTTTCTCTTGTAGGTTTGGAAGATTTAAGAGACTTACTCATAAATGATAGTTTTGGGGGAGACATGAATAAGATGAAAATCAAAGTACTGAAACCCAGCATACAGTTTCATAAACAACTCTCCAAATCAGGAGCAATTCAAATAATAGCAAGCCAATTTAAGCACAATAAATGCAAACATTAACTTAATTGTTACAAAAGATCTTGGTCTGCACCTTGACAATTAATAATTTTTACCTTGGATGAAACTCATCCCACTAGTAGTACCTTAACCTAACAGTCTCAGATCCATAAATCTATGCAAGATTTCTCTCTATGAAACATGGACATCTGGTTTGTTTTTTTGTTGTTGTTGTTTTGTTTTTTACTTTTAGTTCACACCCTTAATATGCAAAAATTGATCATAGGTAAGCGTTACATACAAAAAGAAACTTTGATTTTAATTACTTTTTTCTTTAAAATTTAATTTTTTTTAAATCCTCATGATTTGACCTTTTCAAAAACTTTCTTTGAAATAAAATATTTTCAAGTACCTTTTGCTAAAATCCTTTCTCACTCCCCCCGCCGACGCCGAGTCCTTATATAATCTAGAGGCAAGCATGAATAATTTATCATGAGATCTTTTTATTTAAGTTTTGAGAATGATCTAAAATGGCATTCTAAACATTTCTTTAAATGGCATTCTAATGAAAATTATTGGTTTGATACCATAAGCATAGTGATTATAAATTCAATTGTGAAAATAATGAGGACTGCTTTTAAGAAAATGTTTTGCCAATAATTCCAGGGAATTTGAAATACTTCTTTCATCATTAGATTATTGTGAAAGACTTCAGGATCTAAATAATATAACCATATATTAGTGTAAAGTATCCACTATATTTTAAGGACTATTATTTGCTATAAAATCTGGACCTTGGTGTCTACTTTTATAGAGGAATAGCTTTTTTGAATATGCCCTAGAGTTTTTAATGGGAAAATTAATGGAGAAATGGTTCCACAACTTCCTCCGGTATGGGAGAAAGCACAGTATGTATCTTCAAAAAATTCCCATTGAATCCAATCCCACTGTGTTCACGCTCTTAACATTTTCTATAGAAGTGATGACAAATGCTATACTGGTGATTTAAAGGTGCTAAACTAGGAAGAAATTAATTAAGTTTTGCTGAAATACCTTCAGCACTACAGTCTGTCTCCTTTCTTGGCTAAGTATAGATGTTGTTTTACTCATTATATACCAGAAGAAAAGCTCACTTGAATGTTAGAATTTTGGCTCCGAGAAGTCAGCCTAGCTCTCCAAGAATAATGATCCTGTTTTGAATGGGTGTTGGTAGAGACCGTCAGTCTCTTAGATGGGCAGCGTCTCATGAAGTATGGAGGAGCCATGAATAAGAGAAGCTGTCTTAAACTGGAGGACTGAAAGGTGTTCAGATGGTCAGGAACAAAGCTCAGGAGGAGGGAAGTGTACTGACTTACCTGTAATACTTTGGTCAAATTGTTAAATAGAGCTTGGCCTGCACTCACTTTGTATCTGACGCCTCTGACTGTGCCATTTTTGCTTAAAATGTTGACTCTTCTTGTACCAAAAGCCTTCTCACTAGCAGCCCTCGCTAGCACCAGCAAGTTATCCTGATCATTCTCAGGTTCATTGCCTTCTGATCCTATGTGGCCGTTCTGCTGTCCGTCAGACTCACTGAGCCCATCAACCCCACAGATACTGGCACATTCAGAATCCAAAGAGGCTGAGGGCTGCCCATCTTCATAAACTTCCTTCAGAACTCGCCCACTGTGAGATGATGCGATTCGAAACCGGACTTTCCGTGGTCTCTCACTTTCTGGCTTCATGTCCCTTTGTAGCATGGTCAGCTTCTCCCACTGGAACAGTTCACATCATTCCGGATCCATTGTTAGTGTATTTACTCATCCACTTGCCACTCATCGATATCAAAACTGAATTCTAGTGACAGAAGTCCTCCTATGAAACTAACATTGAAAGTGAAGAAGATTCCCAAGAACATACACTGCATCTCTACCTTTAATAATGAATGCATGTGTGTGTGCTATGGTTACCTTTAAACTAAAACCTGCAAGGTGATCCCGGCCTTTAAATATTAAATGACCATTGCAGATCCTTTAATAGGACAAGTGCAAGAAAGTGGCATGTAATAAAACAAAAAAATGTATGGGGCAGGGGAATGAAAGGCTCATACTTTGAAGCTGATACTGAGTGTTGAAAGAAGTTTAGCAGCAAAAATGGCTCTACCATCTATTGCTCAGACTATAGAGATCAGAGGTAAAATATAGACTCAGATTTGTGGGCTAGGATATGACACAGAATTCTCACCATGCTAATTTCTTCTTCCAGTCTTACTAGGTGATCTTTCAGAAAGGGAAGGGAAAGTGCTGCACAATACATACTTCTACAAAGATTCTTGGTAAATTATCAGTTGGACTCCATCTACACTGTATAAGATGGTTTTCAATGTATATCTTAATGTTCGAGTAGTCTTGCTAAAGAAGCTTTTGAACAGACTGGGGAAAAAAAAGATAACTTTTGGTTAATTGCACTCCCACTTCTGCTAGTAGAAAGTGTGGTTCTCTCTGGTGTAAGAAGGGTTTCAGAAAAGTATCATGGAATAGTGAGGGAAGAATGGAAAATTCTCTAGGCCAGCCAGATCAGCCAGAGCATCCAAGTGATCAGCATTGATACATATTACATCCAAGTCACCCATGCATGCAGAAGGGCCCTCTGTCTACTGTGCTCAAAGTATTTTCTATCACTTTGGCGAGTGCCTGAGGAACCTCTTAAGTTATAATGTCATGGTGAAATGTGTTCCGTAGCAAGCTTCAAGCTGTCTGCATCTCCAAAGGGATAGTAAGCAGCTAACCCAGGTACAGCATTTCAAGTTTTGTTGTTTCT